TAGATAAATACAATAAAAGTGGCATATACCAAATGAAATGTGTAGATTGCCCATTGAAATACATTGGGCAAACGGGCAGAACATTTAACACTAGATATAAAGAACATATACATGATATTAGGAATAATGATAGCAATTCCGGGTACTCAAACCACATACTAAATACAGGACATGCATACGGAACAATAACAGAGGTAATGGAAGTTGTAACAACGGGAAAGAAGGGCAGACATTTGAATACATTAGAGAAATACCATATATATAAAATAAGTAAGAAAGGCCTACACATGAATGATACACACATAGAAACACACAATCCCATATTTCAAACGATACACGAAATCTATACAGACTAACGGTACCTTCCTCTCCCCACTACCCATCCCCCCCCTACACTCACAAACATAAAACTCAGCACACAGTACATCAGACAGCACACGTAGTAAAGAATAGCAGCGGCACGCACACAGAAAGACCACACAGGGTAAGTACAAATAACAATATACACACATTAGAAAACACCACATACATAAGATAGTAATACAAATATATTTGTATATTACAGATAACACCTATACAGTGTGGAAACAAGAACTAGCCGCTGCAGCACTTCAAACACAGGGCGAATAACCCTAACAATTTTAAAATTTTAAAATTTGGACAAGAATTTTTAAAATTTGGACAAGAATTTAAAAGTTTAAAATTAGAACTAAAGATTTTATTATGGTGCTATTACAATAAACTCAAAATTAACGTGTGTGAAGTAATCTACGGGTGGACAGCTATCAACGAAGTAGAAGTTGATAATGACAGGGAGAGTGTTTTAGATGTTAAAGTTTGAACTGGGTGCAGTGTGACAGCGACGTGAGTGTTATACACCTGATGATGGCCGTCTGAGGCCGAAACATGTAGTGTAGGGAGCAAGATCAAAGACACAAGAATATATTGTTTGCACTTGAGACGGAGGTTATATCATTTACCTTATTTAGTACATGTTTCATTTATTGTTTGCATTTGGAGGTTGAGGTTAATTCTGTCCACCCTTGCTGGCTTATTGTTCCAGAGATCACTTTTCATTATCTTGTTTACAGGACCAGACATATGATCCAATCCCAGATTTTGAGTTCTTACTAAGCCGTTTTAGAGAGAAACCATTAGTAGAGGAGATTATATGTCAAATGGGTGCCTTCTACCTATTCATGAAGGATGATCTGCCTATGGCTTACAGGAAATACTACAGTAAGGTCATTTCCCAGAATCCAGAATCTGAAAAGTTAAAGGTATGTAATATATAAATAATAATAAAAGTCATACGTACTCATATTTGTTGATGCGTTTTATGTACCTGCCCTAGCTTGTGATGAAGTAAGGATGTTTGCCATGGCTTCAATACTAGCTCCTGAGAAGGTAAAGAAGTTCGTCAATGTTTTGTGATTTTGATCTCTTTAATAGTTACAGTAGGTCTTAGGGTGAGCTTTTTGTGGGATATTGATGGAAGGGGTGGAACAGTACATACTTCAAATCACAATATAAAATGTTTGTACATCAATATGATAAACTTGGCATGTGCAAGAAATGACCTTTTTACTTTCTGATGATGATCTAAAAAAATTACAACAATTTTTTTAGGAGACCAGTTTTTTCATTATAATTATTTGTAACACTGTCCACATTTTCACAGTGCACTGGTAAACATGTCAGCACTAAAGTAATTTTATGAATTCATTAATATCAGCTTTCACACTGGTATCTTGCTCGGCTTATTACACACTAAAAGTGGAGGCAATATGTTCCTTCAAAATATCGGTTGACTTTCAGTGGACTGTATGGCATTATATCCTAGAAGATACTCTTCATGTAGTTGTGAGGTCATCAATGCAGGTATGACCACAAGGTTAAGACCTGACATCTAATGTTAAATTACCTTTAAATGCGTCCAGCATGAGCATTCCTTGTTTGCTCAGTACTCGTGATCTCCTGTTCCAGGCAACTTGTAACCAGTCTATCAGCTCATTTAGTCATCCATCCCATAGGCATCTACACCTTCAGCATATTTTTTCAATTCGGTATCACGTGATAGTTTCATGCTGTCATATCTTTTCTTTGCCTGAATTTTTATGACAGATTTCATACCATGTCACTGACAGTGTACCGGAAGGGATACTGATACAAACAAGCATTTTGTCAGCTTTGCCTCAGTGCATGATGGTAACTATTTGAAAAGGCTGTGCCATAGCTCAGGCAGTTAGGCGTTGGCTTTTCACCACAGAGGCCTGTGTTTCATCCCGGGTCATGTCATGTGGGATTTGTGGTGGACAAAGGGACACTGGAGCAGGTTTTTTCTGAGTACTTAGGTTTCCCCTGCCAATTTGAATTCCACCGATTGCTCCACAGTCATCACCTATCATCTGAGGCTGGTGCAATAGTGTCATCTGAGGCTGGTGTAACAAGTGGACTCAGTCGCACCCCACTAGAAAAAAAAACAGCTTGAAAAGGGAAGTTTTCACTGTAAAAGAAATTCCTCTGCCTCATTTGTACACACCACCCTGTACTGAACTTAAATTTCTTCTGCTTAGGTGAGTTTAATGAAGAATCACAAAACTGACATACCATTGGTCTTGAATCCATACAAAGTGTGATATCCACAGAGCTTGCATTAGTAGAGAATCTCTTGATATTGTAGCATGTAGAGAGCCATTACTAAGTTACCACACACTAAACAATTTATTGCACACGCAGTAGAGGAACACATCACATCTGCATCTGCAGTGATGTCGCACAACAGTAGCGGAGCAGTGGGAAGTGGTGTTCCCACGTGGTCCACCACCAGGCAGGCACTGCTGTTGCAGTGGGACACATCATACCATGCCACCCACATCAACAGAGGAATGATGTTTTCTGTTGGGTCTGCTCCAGTGCTGTTAGTTAGTGGAGTGGAGTCATGTTTGGCAGTTTGAAGCCAGTTAGTTCAACTCAGGAGCTGCAGTGTATATCACAGGCAGTGAAGACATGAAGCTGTGAACATGGAAGATCTGCAGCATTGGAATCTGTTACCAGACAACTGGTGAAGACACAGCGGACCGAGAAGACTTGGTGTTTGCTGTAGTGAACTGCAGAGTGTGTGAATTAGCAATAGTGTTATGGTTATTATTATTATTATTATTATTGGAGGAGTGGGTTTCCCCATGCACCGCGACCAATGGTCTGTTGTACGTCCCCTCTGCGATATTCTACCAGTCTCTCTACCCTACCAATACTGGTGCGTACCATCAGTCCCAACTCAGCCAGCGAGTTCGGCCTCTACTGGCTCAGCGGTATCTCTCGATGCTTCCCCCATCTATCAGAGGCATTAGAGACTACTGTTGGGCGGGAAATGTCCANTCTGCTGGTGCTGTGGTTACTTGTAGTTATGATCTATAAGTGTTCAGTGAAACCAATTGAGATGCCACAAGCTGGTTCAGATCCTGTTCTTGCCAGCTGATCTGCAGTTTCATTCTCATCAGTATTCTCCTGCTGAGATGCCGCAAGCTGGTTCAGGTCCTGTGAACGGTTGTTCAGATTGTGCTCTTGCCAGTTGATCTGCGGTTTAATTCCCTACAATACCCTCATGACCTGGCACCCATATCAGTTGTAATCTGTTATGTCTGGCCAGTTGTATGAGGGATTGGTGGCAGCCCCAAACCAATTTTGAAGTGATTTGGTGTGTACCAAGTGCTTTAATTGCAGTTTGAGTGTCTGATAGGATATAGATGTTCCTATTTCTGTAGTTCCTATCTGAATTCTCAACTGCGCATGCCTTAATGACATACACCTCTGCCTGGAAAATGCGCATCTAAACTGAGATTGAGGATTTTGTCTTCAGTCACTATCAGAAATTTAAGACTTGCACATGACTGAAAAAAAAACTGTGTTATCAGAAGTTGAAAGATTTTCAGTACAGAGTAACGACCTTTTGCTCAGTTCTCAGGCTTTCATAATCAGGAACACTTGCATATGTGTAATGCTTTCTGTTGTAATGCAGAATTTCTCCATAGCTGGACAAGAGTTCTTCATTGAAATATAATTGGATTTAGAATTCATATTAATGAAGAGAATGGGATTTTTGAGTGTAAGGTTTGACAAGCATCGATTTTTTGTTCAATGATGTACCATGTTGGGTATGTAATTAATGAAATAATCATCAAAAATTACAATGAATCTTTATTTTGCTTACAAATTAATGAGTAGCGTGAAAAATTTCCTGAGAATTAGCTTAGCTGAGACAGGCTTAGAAATTAAGATATACTTTTTTTTTTCCTTGGCACTACAGCCCCAGTGGGCCTAGGCCTACCTCCATGAACTCCGTTCACTTCGGTTTTTCTCGATCTTACACATACGGTAGGACTCCTTGGGCGAGTGATCAGCTCATCGCAAGGCCTCTACCTGTAGACAAACACAGAAAAACGCACACAAACATCCATGCCCTGAGTGGGATTCGAACCCACGATCCCGGCTTCCGAACGAGCGAAGACAGTGCATGCCTTAGACCGCTTGGCCACTGTGACCGGCTAAGATATACATTTATGTGAGCATATCTCATTAGAATTCATGACTAAACCATATTCATTTAGTCTGTAATGTAAGCTTATGTTGTTGAGTCACTGTTATGTTTTTTCTAAAGAAGTAGACAGAATCCAGAATTGGGGTCCAAAATATACTGTCGCGTATCGGGCGTATAACGCGACAAATAACTTCACGAAGTATTTAATATCATCATCATCATCATCATCATCAGTAATCTGTCAAGACGACAGGTCCACAGTCTCTTTCAAAACAATTCCTCCACTTAATGCGATCTAGAGCTTTCTCCTTCAAATGACAGTATCCTCTTCTGTCCCCAAGGTCATCCAGCATCTTCTTATTTTATTTCACATTCGCACTTACAATTGCCCAAATTACAGATTTACGATTACTGCTATCTGCAGTATCACAATTAGTACACTCCAAATGCCACAATACAACTGACTTGTTGCTGGCTAACTCGGCGGTAGCTCCAGGACTGACTGACTCAGTACAACTGACTGTGAATAGCCTTCGCTGCTCCCCATGTAGCCTTGATCGGACCATACGGAAAACGGCCACGTAATAGGCACCCTTGTTGCCTGGCGCCGTGTTGCTAGTAATGCTAGCGGTAGTAACCGCTGTTACTACAGTAACAATCCTGTTGCGTCACCGTTACGTTACCGTGCGGAGGAGGGGGAGGGGAGCGCTGACTCACCCGCCGCGTCACTGCTGGTGGGGTGGGGTCTCCTTGCGCAACATGTCACAGTATGTTAAAGTCGTTCAAAGTTCAGATAAAAGACTTTAAATTAACTTGCAATCACCCAATATTGCTTAAATTTCGCCTAAAATTGTCAATCGTCAAAGGATCTCTTAAAATTCCAAAAACCAGTGAAAACTTTCGCAAATTGCAGGAATTTATTTCTATTAACTTGAAATAGAAAAACGTTTGGTTAAAATTACATAAACTAGGTTGAACTCTTTCAAAATTTTGTTAAAATTTCTTAATTTAACTAGGAATCACTGAATTTTTTTAAATTCCTTAAATAAAATAGTAATTATCAGAAATTTTCATAGAATTCCTAATTTAGAGTAAAATCTTTCAAAGTTTGATGAAATTCTTTATTTTAACATAAAATCAACAAAGAATTTTAGTTCAAAATTATATAAATTAGGTTGAAGTCGTTCAAAATTCAGATAAAAGAATTTAAATTAACTTGGAATCATTCAAAATGTCTTTAAATATCCTCAAATATTATGTAATTCGTCAAAGAATCTCTTAGAATTCCTGAAATTAGAGTGAAATCTTTCAAAAATTGGTTGAAGTTCATTATATTAACTTAAAATCGTGAAACAATTTCTGGTCAAATTTACTTCATTTTCGTTGAAATCGTTCAAACCTGGTTAATACTCGGTAATTTAACTTGACATCTCTCAAAATTGTGTTAAAATTCAATAAATAATATAGAAATCAAGTAATGGGACGGAATTCCATTACATACGATGAAATCTTTCACAAATTATTTGAAATTCTTTATATTAACTTAAAATCGTCAAACAACATTCGGTTTAAAAGCACAAATTATGTTCTGCACGTTAGAGTTTAGGTTAAAATTCCTTAAAATAATTAAGAATTACTGATTATGTTTTAAAATTCTTTAAATAATATATTAAATACCAGAAATTGACCTAGATTTCCTTAAATTTGAATGAAATCTTTCAAAGATTCGTTGAATATCTTTTGTGTTAACTGGATATCGTCACACAATTTTAGGTTAAATTGTTTGAATTCGTTCAAAATTCGAATAAAAATCCTTATATTAACTTGGAATCACTAAAAATTCGGTTAAATTTCTTGAAATATTATGTAAATCGTCAAATAATATGTCAGAATTACCAAAATTACAGCGAAATCTTTCAGAAAATAATTGATATTATTTATATTAACTTGAAATCGAGAAAGAATTTTTGGTTAAAATTACATAAATGAGGTTGAAGACGGTCAAAATTAGTTTAGTATCCCTCAAATTAACTTTAAATCACTCAAAAATCGATTAAAATTAATTAATAANGGGCTGCTGTCGGAACCAGGCGTGTTCACACTGCATGGCCTACCTCATAATGCATGACAGGTTGCATGCTTTCGTTGAATGGCCTTATGAAGTTTCCTGAAGATGTTACAGTAGGAGTTGGCATTTACGGTTTGTCCTTGAGGCTGGAATGTGGTGAGCAGAGGATGGTGTAACCTTAAACTTTCTTTTTTGGCAGACAACGCAGGTTGTTTCCACTGCATTGATGCATGCTTTGTCTTGGGCTGGTAATGGTGAACCCAAGACTCATCACCTGTGACAATTCGGGCTAGCATATCGTGTCCTTCATCGTGGTAGCGATTGAGATGCTGTAATGCCAGACCCATTCTTTGCATCTTGTGTTGTGGGGTCAGTATGCACAGCACCCATCATGTACATACTTCGAGAAAACCTAACCTGTCATGCATTATGAGGTACACCATGTCGTGTGAAGACGCCTGGTTCCGACAGCAGCCCAAAGAATTTTATGCTGCTGGTTTTCAGTGGTTTGTGAAATGATGGGATAAGTGCCTCAATGTACAGGGAGATTATGTTGAGAAATAAAAGCATTTTTGAAATCAGTACTCTTATTTCTTTAAGTTCTATATCGATTTGTAACTTACTTATTGACTTACCTTTGTATATGCCTTATACTTAGGAAGACAGCAGTGTGTAATAGAAGTTATTGGGATTATTTATGCTGAACAAGTAAAATTTGCAGTTAACTTACGGTAGAATAAAGCAAAAATACATTCCACCACTAAAGAGATGACCTATGTAAGAAGCTGTGCAGTAGCTAATAAAAACACTTTAATCAAAGTCTAGGTCTATTCACTTTAGGAGTAATGGTTCACCTTGACATTAAATTATATGAAATTAGGATATCAAGAAGTAATCCATGTGCTTTCATTTCAGACTCACAAATGTAACTTCTTGCCCATGAAAAAACCCGTGAATATCTATGAAGTGATTTTTGATGAGGCAAGAATAAGACTAAAAGAAAAAAACTGCAAGAGTTTGTCTGATGAAGACTGTAAGTTGTTTCGTCAGATTGTCATTGAATATTCACACCTTTTCCCACAACTGTCGCAGAATTCTCCAAAACCCAGACGGAAGATGGTCTTGGAAGAAGCAGAAAGTGCATACTCTGATCGATCACGCTCACGTGGTGGTAGGGGTAGGGGTAGAGGTAGAGGGGGATCTCGTGGATTGGGTACCAGTGGGGGCAGGAGTAGAGGTAGAGCTGATGGTCAAAGAGATTTCAGTGGCGGTAGAGGTGCATACCGCCGGAGATTTGGAAGTCGCGATTCAAGCACTGACAGTAAGAGTAGCAATATGGCTAGATATCACCAGAAAGCTGGAAGTCGTGATTCAAGCACTGAAGGAAGGGACAGACATTACAGTAAAGAAAGAAATTTTTTTGGTAGTTGGCATCAAAGTAGAGATTCGAGTAATGATAGCAGAAGCAGCCAGGACAAGAATTGGCGAAGTGGACCAAGGGACTTTGATGAGATTGGCAAGGGAAAGTTGACCCATCATCGGGACAGTAGCAATAGCAGTAGATATCACCAGAAAGCTGGAAGTCGTGATTCAAGCACTGAAAGAAGGGACAGACATTACAGTAAAGAAAGAAATTTTTTTGGTAGTTGGCATCAAAGTAGAGATTCGAGTAATGATAGCAGAAGCAGCCAGGACAAGAATTGGCGAAGTGGACCAAGGGACTTTGATGAGATTGGCAAGGGAAAGTTGACCCATCATCGGGACAGTAGCAATAGCAGTAGATATCACCAGAAAGCTGGAAGTCGTGATTCAAGCACTGAAAGAAGGGACAGACATTACAGTAAAGAAAGAAATTTTTTTGGTAGTTGGCATCAAAGTAGAGATTCGAGTAATGATAGCAGAAGCAGCCAGGACAAGAATTGGCGAAGTGGACCAAGGGACTTTGATGAGATTGGCAAAGGAAAGTTGACCCATCATCGTGACAGTAGCAATAGCAGTGTAGAAGGAAGGCCATATCCCATTAGGGAGAATAATAATGGACATCAGGGCTCCAGAACTTACAGTGTGAGTAGAAATGGAAGTGGATCAGATTTACCCAGAGATTTGGGAGGAAGCAGAATAAGAACAGAAAGTAATAGTAGTGTTGGTAGTGATACACGTAGAGACTGGAAAGATGGTTGCCTTGGTGGGGGACCCAGGAGTAGAAACAGTAATCAGGTGGGGCATGGACAGACAGATGAAGGAAGCAGATTGAAACGGAATTTTGGAGAAAAGCGAGATAGTAGTAGTAATTGGGGTTCTTGGAGGGGTTACCAGAGGGGTGGGAATAGAAGACCAGATTTCCATGGGAGTGTAAATTATGAACAAGAAGCACGACAAAGTAACATGAATCAAGATTCTGGGAGCAGAAGTTCAAACATGCACCATAACAGAGAGCAAAGTGATGCAATGGGAGCTTCAGCTGCCAGAGCATCTCAGAGGGAAAGTAGATGGCAGGGTAGTGAAGATAAGTCAAAAAGATGGTTTAATGCGAAAGAAACAAATTTTAAACTCTCCTGGCAAAACACTAAGAATTAGTAATGTTCCATACATGATTTAAGTACCAAATTTGAATAACGTAAACCATTATATTTGCCTCATAGGATCTGTCAGCGTTTCTCTGCAAGCTCCACTGAGACACTATATATTAATATTCCCAAAGTGGAAGATGTAACCCCTTGTTTCTCCTTAAGGGTTGCTCACTGTGTTGCAAACACACATGCACCGTTCCCTCATTATGAATTTAACTGAAAAAACTAATTCCAATTGCCCTTATTCTTGGCGATGTGGATCTTGTTTCAAACTCATGATCTTTTTTGCCACAGTATACAGTATAAAATAAAGTCTGTTTGGCCACTGCATTACCCAGCAATCAGGTGAAGACACCAGAGACACAATTACTTCCCAGAAAACTAAAGCACTAAGTTCCCTGTAATGAATATTGATTATTTTTTGGAATATTTTTGGGGTTCTGTCAAAAAACAGATGTTCACTGCTAGATTACAAATAAGTCAGAACACTGTAGAAATTTCCTGTCTGTAAAAGTTGGGGGGCTATGCTACAAGCCGGAAGGTCACGGGTTCAAGTCCCAATGAGGTCATTGGACTTTTTTCAATTGACCTAATCCTTCCAGCCGCACTATCCCCTTGGGGTCGACTCAGCCTCTAACAGAAATGAGTACCAGGAATTAATTAAATAATTTTCCTGGGAGTAAAGCGCAGCTGGCGCATAAGGCTGACAACCTTACTGCCATCTTTGAGCAGATTTTCTAGATAATGTGGGACCCTCAATGTCTCACAACCCTACGGGCCTTCACAGCCTCTTACAGGGATAGCTTTACTTTTACTATCTGTAAAAGTTTAAATGACAAGTGAATAGTTAATGTTGGAATCTGATTTGGGTGATGGATCATTATTGTTGAGCTTTCTGAAGTTTTGAGAAAATAACATAAAGTGTAAATCCATAAAAATGAAAACATTATATCATAACACCAGGAGACTATTTTCTTGCATGCACACATTGGGGGGGAATCATCATTATAAGCTGTTCCTTCCACACTTTCTTCTGTTTTTTATATATACATTAAGGTGACTATTACAGCAGACAAAGATTTCCAACTTGATTTAAGTGAAAGTAAAATTCATAGTAAATCAAAATTTTGACTGCAGTATTCTTTATATATACGTTAAAATGACTATTACATCAGACAAAGATTTCCAACTTGATCTAAGTGAAAGTAAAATTCACAGTAAGTCAAAAGTTTGACTGCATTTACTAAAATATATTGCATACTGTTCATGGAAGTTTATAATTCCAACAGTGTATGGTCTGAAATACTGACAACATTGTTAAATAAAGTACGAAATAAATACCTATCACCAGACTTGTGTGATGTGTTCCTAAGTGTTCCCTTAACTTGAAATTCATTATTCCCTTCTTTCCCCACTGCTTTTTAATTTTAATTGCAAATATGTAATTCAGTTAACTTTATCAACTATCATCATTTATTTTAATTGTTGGATTTGAGGTTCTCAGAGCATTAACTATCAGTCAGTGTGGAGTGGAAATGTAAGCCAAGCCATAAACCAGCATGAAGTAGGCAGTAAGAAGAGCTCTGGAGGCCATATATTCCTCCAAAATGTCAGTCAACTTTGATGAGACTACACAACATTATAGCCCATAAGATATCATTTATTCATTTTAGTTGTATAACAGTATTATATTTAAGCATCCTGTTGCACTCTATACGATATATGACATAAACACCGTCCCAAGTGCAACAATTTATTGTAGTTCTTTTGTCTTGCCCTCTTCTACACTACATGTTTTGGCCGCAAACGGCCATCATCAGGTGTATGCACTTACATAGCTGTTACACTGCATCTAGGTTAAAATTTAAAACCACAAGTCTTCCCAATTGTTCTTTTCGTCGTTACTAACAGGTTTCGATTTATTAGAATCTACTTCGCTGATATCTGTCTTTGTGCATTATCTTTGTTGCCTACACTCGTCAATTTTGATATTATGAACCGGCACTTTTAAAATCTTCAGTTCTAATTTAAAATTCTTTTAAAAATTAAAATTCTCAGGGTTACTCGCCCTATGTCTGTAGTGCTACAGCGGCTACTTCTTGTTTTCAGCACTGTTATCTGTGTAGGCTCCCTGTGTGCAGCCGCTGCTTATCTTTACTATGTAACCCTGAGAATTTTAATTCTTAGAAGAATTTTAAATTAGAACTGAAGACTTTAGAAGTGCCAGTTCATAATATCAAAATTGACGAGTGTAGGCAACAAAGATAATGCACAAAGCAGACAGATATCAGCGAAGTAGATTCTGATAAATCGAAACCTGTTGGTAACGATGAAAAGAACGTGAAGACTTATGGTTTTAAATTTTAAGCTAGATGCAGTGTAACAGCTACGTAAGTGCATACACCTGATGATGGCCGTTTGCAGCCGAAACATGTAGTGTAGAAGAGGGCAAGACAAAAGAACTACAATAAATTGTTGCACTTGGGACGGTGTTTATGTCATATATTAGTTGTATAAAAATCCACTCTGTGAGATAATTCTGTTATTTTTTAGCCTTTATAAAAAGTTAAATTAAAAAAAATTGTATCCGATACCATTAATGCAAAATTAGCATAAACTGGGGTATGTACGAAGGGGGACCCAAAAATAACCGGAACCAACCTGTTGCGCGCGCATGCTTTGTAGTTACGAGTTGTGCATGTTAGGTGGTGTTACCTGGGGGTCTCCCGCGACTGTTAGTGAGCTGGCGTCAGTCTGAGTTAAGTGGTTTGTCTGTGGTGCTCTGTTGTGTGCATTC